AGCCGTGGTGGGGGGGGGGGGGGGGAGAGGGTCCTTGCACGGGGAAATGGTTTCTTGCAGGGGGAGATGATTGCGGGGGAAAATGGTCGTCGCAAGGGAGATGGTCACTGCAGGGGAAATGGTCCCTGCAGGGGAGATGGTCGTTGCAGGGGAGATGGTCACTGCAGGGGAAATGGTCCCTGCAGGGGGGATGGTCACTGCAGGGGAGATGGTCCCTGCAGGGGGGATGGTCGCTGCAGGGGAGATGGTCACTGCAGGGGAGATGGTCGTTGCAGGGGGGATGGTCGTTGCAGGGGGGATGGTCGCTGCAGGGGAGATGGTCACTGCAGAGGAGATGGTCGTTGCAGGGGGGATGGTCGTTCCAGGGGGGATGGTCGTTGCGGGGGGGATGGTCGTTGCAGGGGGGATGGTCGTTGCAGGGGGGATGGTCGTTGCGGGGGGGATGGTCGTTGCAGGGGGGATGGTCGTTCCAGGGGGGATGGTCGTTGCAGGGGGGATGGTCGTTGCAGGGGGGATGGTCGTTGCAGGGGGGATGGTCGTTCCAGGGGGGATGGTCGTTGCAGGGGGGATGGTCGTTCCAGGGGGGATGGTCGTTGCGGGGGGGATGGTCGTTGCAGGGGGGATGGTCGTTGCGGGGGGGATGGTCGTTGCAGGGGGGATGGTCGCTGCAGGGGAGATGGTCACTGCAGAGGAGATGGTCGTTGCAGGGGGGATGGTCGTTCCAGGGGGGATGGTCGTTGCGGGGGGGATGGTCGTTGCAGGGGGGATGGTCGCTGCAGGGGAGATGGTCACTGCAGAGGAGATGGTCGTTGCAGGGGGGATGGTCGTTCCAGGGGGGATGGTCGTTGCGGGGGGGATGGTCGTTGCAGGGGGGATGGTCGCTGCAGGGGAGATGGTCACTGCAGAGGAGATGGTCGTTGCAGGGGGGATGGTCGTTGCGGGGGGGATGGTCGTTGCAGGGGGGATGGTCGTTCCAGGGGGGATGGTCGTTGCGGGGGGGATGGTCGTTGCAGGGGGGATGGTCGCTGCAGGGGAGATGGTCACTGCAGAGGAGATGGTCGTTGCAGGGGGGATGGTCGCTGCAGGGGAGATGGTCACTGCAGAGGAGATGGTCGTTGCAGGGGGGATGGTCGCTGCAGGGGAGATGGTCACTGCAGAGGAGATGGTCGTTGCAGGGGGGATGGTCGCTGCAGGGGAGATGGTCACTGCAGAGGAGATGGTCGTTGCAGGGGGGATGGTCGCTGCAGGGGAGATGGTCACTGCAGAGGAGATGGTCGTTGCAGGGGGGATGGTCGCTGCAGGGGAGATGGTCACTGCAGAGGAGATGGTCGTTGCAGGGGGGATGGTCGTTCCAGGGGGGATGGTCGTTGCGGGGGGGATGGTCGTTGCAGGGGGGATGGTCGTTGCAGGGGGGATGGTCGCTGCAGGGGAGATGGTCACTGCAGAGGAGATGGTCGTTGCAGGGGGGATGGTCGCTGCAGGGGAGATGGTCACTGCAGAGGAGATGGTCGTTGCAGGGGGGATGGTCGCTGCAGGGGAGATGGTCACTGCAGAGGAGATGGTCGTTGCAGGGGGGATGGTCGTTGCAGGGGGGATGGTCGTTCCAGGGGGGATGGTCGTTGCGGGGGGGATGGTCGTTGCAGGGGGGATGGTCGTTGCAGGGGGGATGGTCGTTCCAGGGGGGATGGTCGTTGCAGGGGGGATGGTCGTTGCGGGGGGGATGGTCGTTGCAGGGGGGATGGTCGTTCCAGGGGGGATGGTCGTTGCAGGGGGGATGGTCGTTGCGGGGGGGATGGTCGTTGCAGGGGGGATGGTCGCTGCAGGGGAGATGGTCACTGCAGAGGAGATGGTCGTTGCAGGGGGGATGGTCGTTGCGGGGGGGATGGTCGTTGCAGGGGGGATGGTCGTTCCAGGGGGGATGGTCGTTGCAGGGGGGATGGTCGTTGCGGGGGGGATGGTCGTTGCAGGGGGGATGGTCGTTGCGGGGGGGATGGTCGTTGCAGGGGGGATGGTCGCTGCAGGGGAGATGGTCACTGCAGAGGAGATGGTCGTTGCAGGGGGGATGGTCGTTCCAGGGGGGATGGTCGTTGCAGGGGGGATGGTTTCTTGCAACAGCAGGAATAGGGGCCTGATGAGGCATCCCCGTCCCTGCCCACCTCGAGGGCACCGTGACGCGTTACGGGGCTGAGGGCTGAACCCTTCAAGGGTCCCGCCAGCTCCGGGACCACCAGGCCTGGAGGATGCCACCAGCCAGGCCGGGGACTGCGCTGCAGGAGACCCCAGTGGCAGCAGCATACCTGGGGCCAGGCCCGAGAGAAGGGCTGTGTCCCCCAACTCAGCATCGTTCCCAGCGGCGTGGGGGCATCGGTGTCCCCGAGGACCCTGCTTCCAGGGCCAGCCGGGATTTCGGAGCCGTTTTGGCAATGAGTTTCCCACCCTGCCTTGCTGCAGCGCTGGGGAGATGCCAAGACCTGCAGGCACCCCCTGCTTATATCCCAACGGTCCCAGAGCCCCCTCCCCGGTACCAGGGCGGGTCCCTGAGCCTGCCTTGGGGACGTGGCACACCAGGGTGCCGTGGGACAGTGGCTCCCAGCCCCAGCTCTTCCTTGGGGGCCACGTCTCCCAGGTACGTTTGCCCCACACGCCAGCCAAGCCCTTCCCGGCCAGCACCGCATCCCGGCACCGCGCTGGGGGGACGTGTTCCCCCACCAGCTCCCTCCTTGGTGGGGGGGACACCCCAAAAAACCCTCTGCTCTGGCGACGACCGATGGCCAAAGGGAACCAGCGGCCGACCGATGGAAGGGAACCAGCGGCCGAGCGCCGAGCCGGCCGAGCAGCTCGGCTGGACCTGTTACCTAAGATGAAACCCAGGCGCCATCTGCTCCATCTCCCAATTACCAGCGTGGCAGAGAGGGCAGGGCGGCGGGGGGACGTGGTGATGGCCGGGTTCGAACGGCGGCAGGAGCGGGGTGACAACCGAAGGAGGGGTCAGGGCTGCCTGCAAGCACCCCGCACCCCTGCCTGCAAGCACCGTGTGCCCCAGCACCCATCTGTGCCCACCCCTCCGGACCCCCGGCTCTTGCCCTGCTCCCAACCCGTGCGCCAGTGGCATCGCGGGGCGGTGGGTCCCCGAGGTGGGTGGGTGCCCCGGGAGGATTTCTAGGTGGGATCCCAAAGCACCCCTGGTGCTGATGGGTGCCCCCGTTCCAGAGGTGGGCAGGGCAGTGGCAGGGGATGCCCGGTGCGTGGGGTGCAGGCAGGGTGACGAGGTGTGGGGAGGAAGAGAGGGGAGCAAGACCCATGTGCTTGGGGGTGGGGGCCGCGATGCCGAGGCAAGGGGGGACGCGGAGGTCGGGGTGGCAGGG